CCGCGCAGACGAGTTCAGCACATTCAGCCGTCTGTTGGTGTGGTTCTCAAGATTGCCGAGATTACAACGTCAATGGCCCCTCTAGGCATGGCGCCGAGAGACTTGCGCCTTGGCTTGTCAGCTTTGAAGTCAGACATTCGCCTTCGCCTGGCAGGGGCCACCGCCATTATCGATCTGATTATCGGTTTTCCTCGCCTCGCACCGTGCCCGTTGCGAAATCAACTCCCAAGTTGCGCTCTGTGGCTGAGCCCTGCGCGCCACCTCATTTCCATGCCGCTGGTGAGCTTCATCAGCCATTGGGGCGCACCTGTGAGGTGACTCGTGGAGCCCCCCAGATAGCGAAACAGCGGAAACTAAGAGCAATGCGGGATCATTTCTGGGCCTGTTGGCTCGAAAAATCCCGACGGACAAATGTATGACATTTCCGTGGTTGATTTCTTTTTGTTTGGAAGATGTTTTGGGTGGAGAATTTTCCCGTGGACAACTTCGATTTCATTCTTGCTCGCTACCTTGATCTCGGGTCGACCGGGGCATCTTCAGGGGGGAAACTGACCTGGCGGGCATTCGCCCTGAGAGCGTATTTTGTGCGTGCGTTCGGACTATGGGCTTATCTCGAGATTTAGAGCACCCACAGAGGTTTCATGTGTACCAACAGGTTCAGCAGCATCGCAACCATGTGTCTAGAGCCTCGAGAAGCCTGAGACCGGTTTGCTCTTCGAGCTATGGTCGAACAACTATTCGCTCTCTGCTATTGTTTATTGGCAACCGTGTGGTGTGCGGACTTGAGCTCGAGATCTAGAGCAGCTACAGAGCTCGAATCAGCACCGATCGATCCAGCAGCATCGGAAGCATCAGTCTAGAGCCTCGAGAAGCCTGAAACGGCTTGCTATTCGGGCTATGGCGGCTTATGGAGTCAATCTCGAGATTTAGAGCAGCTACAAAGGCTTTATGGATATCCATAGATTCAGCAGCATCGGAAGCATCAGTCTAGGAGCCGCGAGAAGCCTGAGATCGGTCTGCCACCCGAGCCACGGTCGAAAAACTGCTCGCATTCTGCAACTGTTTGGTGGCAACCGTTTGGTTTACGGACCTCGCGATTCAGAGCAGTTACAGAGCTCTCATTCTTACTTATCGACTCAGCAGCAACGGAAGCATCATTCCAGAGTTGCGAGAAGCCTGAGATCAATCTGCTTATCGAGCCATGACCGAATAACTTTTCGTACTCTGCAGTGAATGGAGTCGACTTCGCGATTGAGAGCAGCTACCGAGCCTTAATTTATACCAACCGATCCGTCAGCACCGAACGCATCAGTTGGACTCTCTAGACGCCTGATATCGGTCGGCTACTCGAGCTATGGCCAAAAACCTAGTCACACGCTACAGCTGTGTTTTTGTTTGCGCGCGCGTGGTTAATTGATTTGGTCGAGATTTGGAGCTGCCGCAGATCTTCCAGTCACGTGAGTCGATCCAGCAGCGTCGAGAGCATCACATTAGTTTCGAGGCTTGAGAGGCCTGAGCTCGGTCTCCTATCCGAGCCGCGACGCGCAACAACTATTCGCACATTATTTTTCAGTACTTCGGTTTGCGGGCTATCGCTAGATTTCAGCAGCTGAGTGGCCTTCTTAGCTATGGTTGAACCGTAATCTCATTGTTATCGCTAATGCGATCATGTGTAGAGGCGTCTGTGCTCGGACGGAAGCTCCACGAGTTCCCTGGCGGCAACGTTGGTTGACGGTTTACCGCCCGCGCCCAGTCTCGAAGCATTCTCCTGCATTATGTGCAGTACCTCTGAAGCCCGACGGCGTCGACGTCGGCGCTGAGCACGGCGCGCCTACGCGCAGCCTGAACTTGGCGAAGGCGTCCGAGAAGCAATGGCTGCAGCGCGACCGCGGCGAAGCGACGGCCAGGCACAATGGTCTGCTCGACATGAATGAGGCCACTGATCGCGCATTGCATGTCCAGGACTCGGCGACATGGAAATCAAGGGCTTGAGTACCCATGGCGGGAATGGCGGGGGGCCGCTCGCGATGGTGACCTGAAGTCAGCGACGATGCTTAACACGTATGCGCGCTCCTTCCAGGTCGAGCAAAACGGTTGACAAGTTTAACCTTGAATGACAGGGCGCCCCCCACGGGCGGGAAATCCAAGCGCATTCCTCGGAGGACTTGCTCTTGACTGGCCGCCCGAAACTCTGGGGATCATTGGTTTTCACTTTTGACGAGGGGCCTCCCGAGGCGACGTGGGGCCCCGCGGAGGGCGCGTGAGAGGCCCGACGGACGCGCCCTTCCAAGGCGCTTCCGCCTCGCTATGAGGGCCGCCCGAATCCGCGTGGAGGGCCGCTCGAGACTCTCTTCGATGGCCCCGATAGCACCGCGCGCCGCGGCGGGGCGCTCGCGGGGCCGGAGGAGAAGCGTGCGAGGCGAGGCTCGGTCGAGGCCAGTGCCCATGGAGGTCTCGACAAATCTCGAGGGCCACCTTGATCGACGGATGGGCGAGCAGAGTAGGAATGCAACGCTGACGCGCCTCCCTCTGAGCGATGGTCCAGCAATTCTTCCCCATGCGACCCTCTGCCGTGCTGTTCGCTTGGCTCCCACATGCGGCCGCCCGCGACTGCTGCGGAGTTGCCTGTGCAACGTGCTGAGAAACGAGCTGCGCCTTGGCCAAGCATCGAGACCGCTCCCAATGCATCTCGTCCTTGGGCAAAACATGAGAACGAGATGGGGGTTGCAGTCAGCTGGCCGCGTCAGCGCACGCAGTGACAATAGGCGCCAGGAGGTCCCTGGGGCCCAACATCACCTTCTTCCGCCTGACTCGGATCGGAGGCCCTGGAGTCCTGAGAGCCCTGGAAGTAATGCGCAGTGCCGCAGACATCCCCGCGCACTCGGTAGCGCCCCAAGGTGGTATCTGAACTTTGTCGAGCCAGTTCTCCCGCGCGCGAATAAACATCTTCCACGTGTCGTCGACCGTCTTGCGCGCGTCGGCCTGGGCGCGGAGGCAGCGCCGCCTGTCGATCGACGGCGGCGCGGCGCAGCCGCCAGGCGCAGCTGCAGGTGAACGACAAGGCGCCTGCACCACTTGGACTGCTCCATCTCTTGGCTGTGCTTCGACGACGAGCTGGCCTGGATAGCGCGGCGCCGTCGCTATGTCGGCGCGGGCGGTGCGTCCGCGCTGCGGGCAAGCGTGGAATTGACCGGACAAGAAATGATGACGTTGTTGGAGACAGACGTGCGCACCCAGAGCAGCGGGCCAGCCATTGTTCATCAACTGCGCTGGCTCCATCTGCCAGTTAGCCGCAATCTAGCCTCGCTTGCGCTAGGAAGGAGCCCACCTTGGAGAGGATGCCCCAGTTGAAGGCCCCGGGCCCTGAGGAGTGCTGCAGATGAATGTTGACGACGAGTCCCTTCGAATCATGCCCCCGACGTGCGCGGGGCTGGCTTGTCCAGGCCAAATCGCGGACTCGAATCCTTGAACGCTGTCGAGACCAACGTATTCTCGAACAACGTAGCAAGACTTCCGGCAAGACCCCTTTTGCGAGCCCCTGGAGGTAATTTGGCGGAGTGGCCAGACTTAGTAAACTGGCCTCCTAGTGGGTCACATTGAACGGGTCTTAGGGGTGAGTTTCTGGAGCTCCAATCGCAGCGAAATTGGAACCGCACTCTTGTGCCCTATCAGACCTTAGCCACGTAGTGATGTTAGCGCAGTGGGGGTAACCCACTGCGTCTGGCTTTGGCTGCGGACTGGAAGGGTCACCTTTGGGCTTCTTCTCTTTGGCGTGCCAATCGATGCCGCCATGGTTGCGCCTGATGTAGCCGGCAACTGACCGAACGAAACCGCGACGTGGCTCAATAGACTACCCAAGATGAGTGCTCGTCTTGACGAGCTTCTGAAGGTTCTCCTCGGAGGTGTGTAGCTGCTGGAGGTACCCTGCTCGATCCCTCGCACGGACCAACGCTGCGAACTGTTCTGCCGTCTTGCTGTCTTGGGCCTGGAACCTGCGCATGAGCACGTGCTCTGGAATTTCTTCGTTGCCATCTGACGCACCACCTGCGACCTTGTGCCAGGCCGCCGCAGACCGTTGAGGAACCTCTTGCCCTTGCTGCGAGATGCTGTACCTCGGCGCGAAGAGAGCACCTTCTTCGAGCTGCTTTCCGAAGCGGAGGCCATCTCCTGCACGGGGCGCCCGCAGCTTGACGAGTTCTCGTCTCCGAGGCCCTGACATGGAAATGGCCACGGCCGCGAGCTGTTGCTCCGGCGTCTCGGCCAAGGGCCGCACTTGCTGTGAACTGACCTGGGGAGCTTCGGGCGGCCACCGCCGACCTGGCGGTGCGCGCTGTTCGCCTCCCCCCTTGCCCCAAGATCCACGGAGTTCAGAAGGGGGGGCGATTTCCAAACCTTCTGATAAGGCCTTCTCCTCCTCCCCCTCCTCCTCCTCCTCCTCCTCACCTCCTCCTCCTCCTCCTCCTCCTCCTCCTCCTCCTCCTCCTCCTCCTCCTCCTCCTCCTCCTCCTCCTCCTCCTCCTCCCCATCCCGCAGGCATTTTTTGAACTATGCCCACCCACGTTGTGAGCCCAAGCGCCACGGGGAGCGGGGGCGGTGCCAGCACGAGCACGGGGGAGTTTGTGGTGGCAACGCCGGCAATACGGAAACCAGCTAGTCAAGTCTTGCGGCAACCGCCATGGCCGCAAACTGGCACGGAGCGTCTGGGCGCCCCCTTGATGTTTGCCGTCCACAGCGGGAGCCAGAGGTTGAAGCCCCCACGACCAGGGGATTCAGCATTGAGCCAACATGGCTTGAGCCAACAAGGCAACAGACCTCCTCCTTGCCTTTTTTGTTCTTCCTCTTCTTCTTCTTCTTCTTCTTCTTCTTCTTCTTTTTCGTTTTCCTCCTCCTCCTCCTCCTCCTCTTCCCTCCTCCTTCTGCCTTCTCTTGTGCCTTCTCCGCCTCCTCCCCCTCCTACCTCCTCCGCCGTCGGCTCCCCCTCCCTCCTCCTCCCCCGCCAGGAGCCCCGCCTGAGTCGCACGATCACGAAGGATCCCACCTCGCGCCTCGCGCGGGGGGGGGGGGGCGGGGCGCCTGGCACCCGCGCACCCGCAGTGCCTCTCGCGCTGCTCCTCCTGGCGAGGGTTGCTCGAGGCGCCCCTGGCCCAAAGCAACATGGATTTGGGGGTCCGTGGATCTAGCGCGTTGGTCCGGGCCTCCTAGATAGGGTCCGAGTAGGTGGGGTCGGAGGATCGCGCCGCTTCGCCGATGCATCAAGGATGCGGCTCGATGTGGGGGGCCCGGCATGCTTCACGTCGACATCGCCGATGCATCGCCGATCCTCCGGCCCCATCTGCTCGGACCCCATGAAGTGCGGGAGGTGGCCCCCCAAAAACATGGCGCCAGTGCCGCCCGATCTGTTGGCGACGGAACGCGCCGATGGAGCATGCAGCGAGCAGGACCCGTCGCTAATCTGCGCGCGTCGATCCATTCGGCGGCGAGCCCGGGGGGAAGTGAGAAGGGGCGGGCCTTTTCAGAAGGCTCGGGAGGTCCCCGGGCTTCCCGTGGAGTCTCCTGAGCCTCCTCCAGAGAGGGGCGGCGGCAACGGGGCGCCGTCGTCGTCGTCGTCGTCGTCGTCGGCGGCGGCGGCGGCGGCGGCGGCGGCGGCGGCGGCGGCGTCGGCGGCGTATGCGGCGGCGGCGGCGGCGGCGGCGTCGTGCCTCGCGGGGCGCGGGGCGCGGCGCGCAGAGCTCGTTGGCGCCCGCGCGCGCGGCGTGGCGGTGCGCCCGCGCGCCCCGCGCCGGGGGGCCCGCGCGCCCGTGCTCGAGCGAGCGCCGTGCCCTCGCGGCCCCGGCGGGCTCCAACCCGCCCGCTTCGGAGGGCCCGAGGGCTGGTCACCACCCGCCAGACCACCCCAACCCAACCCGAAGGCCCCAATTTGCCCTCCATTTCCAGTTGGGGGGGGTCTGGGAACGTCGAGAAAACACACATGAAGCCCGTACCCCCCCCAACCCGAAATTCGGGTCTTCGGGTTGGGTTGGGGTGGTTTGGTAGGTAGTCAGTTGGCACTCTTCGTGGACGGAGCGGGGGAGGAAGAGGCACCCAGACCTCCAGCCCTCGCCGGTACCTCCCCTGCGCGGGCCTCCTCGGAGTCCCTCGTCGCCACCGCCGGATTCGCCTCGAGATGCCGGTCAGGACGCACCCCGGGAGAGGTCCGGGGGGCAGCGGTATCGGCACCTGTTGGTTTCCCCAATGGATCTCTCGAGCTCTCCGCCGCCTCTGGCGGTGTGCGTTGCGAGCAGGAGCGCCTGCAGCGTTGCGCTGCGTTGCGTTGCCGTGTGCAGCGTTGCGATGCGTGGCTTTGCTGTGTTCCTGCTCGCAACGCACACCGCCAGAGGCGAGGGAGAGCTTGAGAGATCCGTCCACAGTCGGTGGTGTTCGGCGACTACAATGGGTATGGTTACGCCAGGGTGTGGTTTGCGATCGGCACCGCTGGGGCCTGGGGGGCACGACGCTGTCCTCGTCGGGCCTCCTCGGGGCGCGGGAGAACTACTCCATCGAGGTCCCCGCGCGCCCCCTATGGTGCCCTCCAGGATTTTCCCCAGGGTGCCAGTTGCAAACCGCATCCTTCAAACCACGCCCTTTGGAGTCGCTGGAGCCGTCAATGCAAACGGGGGTCAGCCAGAGCCAGCTGGATCCTGTAGGGCCAGGGTCGCATTGACCCGGGCTTGGGTGCAGGCTTCTGCAGGATTTTGCAGGATCATGTGCACTGACCGGGGTTTGGGCGCAGGATCTCGTAGGATTTTGCAAGGCCTGACTGACACGGGTCTGGATTGACCCAGGTCAGAAGATCCCCGATCAAAGTTTTTCCGACCAGGGCCACAGAGGGCTCTTCAGAAGGCCAGAGATCTTCTGAGAAGCCCCGCCGTCTTTGAGAAGGCCTGCTGCCTCGCGCTTCCTCCTTCGGCGCGCCGCCGAAGCATGGTCTCGTCGGGTATTATGTGGTCCAGTCTGGATCGGCGCGATGTACCACAGCATGGCACATTGCTGTGACCTCCTCCGCCGTGATCGGGCGTCGAAACGAGTACAGTGGAAACCCATGCCGAGAAACACCTTGCTTGCCTCCAGGGTGCCCTGGGTTTCTTGTGTGTCGATGGTTTTGCTACGGAACGCGCGACGCTCTCACACCAAACATCCATGGCCGTCCTAGGGTCTTTGGGCTTCTGGTGGAAGGTTTCTCGTGGTCGGGCTCCTGCTGTACAACATGGCACGGTGCTGTGAGTGATCTCCTCCACCGAGGGAAGATCGAAGAAGAAGCAACACCATTGGCACACAGCGGAGACCCGTGCCGCACCGTGCCAAGAAGCACCCTGCTTGCCTCCAGGGTGCCCTGGGCTGCCTGGGTTTCGGTGGCTTCGCCGTGGGAGGCGCGATGTTCCCACACCAGAAATCAATGGACGCCCGTGGGCTTCTCGTGGAAGGTTTCTCGTGGAAGGTTTGGGCTTGGGAAGGGCTCTCGTGGAAGGTTTCTCGTGGAAGGTTTCTCGTGGAAGGTTTCCCTGGGGTCTCAGGGTTGGGCTTCTCGTGGAAGGTTTCCTGTGGTCGAGCCCCTGCTGCAAACGTAAACTTTCGGCGCTCCGCGCGGGCTTCTGGGAGCCGCGCTGGGGCCCCCCCGGGCGGCGCCGGAGCGCCAACAGTTCGTGTTTATGCCGCAGATCTGAGAAATCCTCGCGGAGCTCCTCCTCCTCCTCCTCATCATCATCATCCTCATCCTCATCCTCATCCGCATCCTCTCCTATTCCTCCTCCTCCTCCTCCTCCGCCTATAGCCCTGCCAAAGACTGTTCTAAGAACCTCGCGTGGTTTCCACGGAGTGTTCTTGGAACATTTCTGGCGGAGTCTGTCTCGTTTTGTCTCACATCGGGTTCATGCTCTAAGAACGTTGTTTTTGTTCTTGGAACAGATTTGGGTTCTAAGAACATTTCGTGGAATGACTATAGGAATGCCGGGACGGTCAGTCCCTGCTCAAGAAGAGGACCCTGATCTCGGTGATGGTGGTATAGTCAACCCGCATAGTAAGAATGAGCAGCTTTCCAAGGCTGCCCTTGCATCCTTCCCCTTTGGCCCAGCCTTGGCCGCTTTCGCTGGCTGCGCCCCGCTCGCAACGTTGTCGACATGGTCTTCCAAGGCCCTTGCATCCAGCCGGTCCCTCTGCAGGAGGAATGTGCAGAAATAGCCCAACAAATAGCCCACCAAATATGCAAAAATGGCCCAGCAGATAGGAACATGCAAAACAATAGCCCCCAAAAATAGCCCAGCAATGCAAATAGCAAACATAGCCCAACAACAATGCAAAAATAGCCCAACAAATGCAGGGGGACTGATTATTCTTCGACTGCCTGGGGGGTCTTATTTACTCATCTCTCACCCATCCTGTGGTGTTGGGTCCTCGTCTTCAAGAGACAGCGCCCCGCGTCCCACCTCTTTCCTCCTCCTCCTCCTCCTCCTCCTCCTCCTCCTCCTCCCTCCTCCTCCTCCTCCTCCTCCTCCTCCTCCTCCTCCTCCTCCCTCCTCCCCGCACCGCACCCATTTCGGCATTCCCAACCATCCTGTGGTGTTGGGCCCTCGTTTCGAAGAGACAGCGCCCCGCGTCTCACCTTCCGCTGCCTCGCCCCCATAGGGAGCTCCATCGAAGGCCCCAGTGGGAAAGTTCGCATGGCGGCCTCGCCCCAGTTCGGCGCACCTCTCACGAGGATCGTGGCCCCATAGGGAGCTCCACCGAAGGCCCCAGTGGGAAAGTTCGCATGGCGGCCTCGCCCCAGTTCGGCGCATCCCCCACGAGGATCGTGGCCCCATAGAGAGCTCCACCGAAGGCCCCAGTGGGAAAGTCCGCATGGCGGCCTCGCCCCAGTTCGGCGCACCCCTCACGAGGATCGTGGCCCCATAGGGAGCTCCACCGAAGGCCCCAGTGGGAAAGTTCGCATGGCGGCCTCGCCCCAGTTCAGCGCACCCCTCACGAAGATCGTGGCCGCATAGGGAGCTCCACCGAAGGCCCCAGTTGGGAAGTTCGCATGGCGGCCTCGCCCCAGTTCGGCGCACACAAGGATTGTGGCCCCATAGGGAGCTCCACCGAAGGCCCAGTGGGAAAGTTCGCATGGCGGCCTCGCCCCAGTTCGGCGCACCCCTCACAAGGATCGTGTCCCCATAGGGGGTCCACCGAAGGCCTCAGTGGGAAGGTTCGCATGGCGGCCTCGCCCCAGTTCGGCGCAACGCTCACGAGGATCGTGGCCCCATAGGGAGCCCCATCGACCATGATAGTCACGACTGCGATATTCACAGCTGCATATGGTTGGGTCCTTCGCCAGGTTAATTTTGATTTTTCGCCCAAAATGCGCCTGTAAGGGGACACGCCCGACCTAATCGTAAACATAAGCGCTCGGAGGTCGCCGCGGATTTCTCGGATCCGCGCTGGGGCCCCCCGGCGGCGCCTCCGGCGCCGCCCCCGGCGCGCTCCGCGCGCCAGGGAGGGGGGTCCAGCGCTGATCCGAGGAATCCGCGCGGACCTCGGAGTTTTTGTGCTCATGCCATTTTTCGCTCCCCCGAAGACGTCGTTCTCCTTCTTCCCCCCCCCCCCCTCTTTTACCAGCCTCGAGCGTATCCCTATCCCTGAGATTGACACGCCAAAAGGCGACGACAATCTTAGGGACCCGCCCTCAAAAAATATAAGGGGATCCCTAAGCTTGGCATCGTGATGAGGAGGTGCCCAGCACAGGGATGGGGATGTGTTCCAGGCTGGTAAGCAGAGGCGGGAAGCGTATGCTGCGCCAGAAGTTAGCATGGCCCCAGGGCTGGGGCGCCTTCCCAGGTTCTTCCCCCTGCCCTCACCTCTTGATGAGGAGGAGGGGGAGGGAGGGAGGGTGGGAGGGAGGGAGTTCCAGGCTGGTAACTCTTGCCGATTCTCTCCCCGTGCCGTGGGCCGAGCTCCTCGGAGGCGTCGGCGGGCGCTCCTCGGAGCGGAGGGGGACCCGCGGGGGCGAGGCCGGAGGCGGGAGGGAGGCTCGGCCGCAGCGGGGAGGACTGGAGGAGGGGGGGGGGGAGGGGGGAGGGGGAGGGCGGGAGCGAGGGGGTGAGGGAGAGCTCGAGGGAGCGAGGGAGGACTCGAGGGAGCGAGGGGGGGGGGGGAGCGAGGGAGGGGGAGCGCGGGAGCGAGGGAGGGAGCGAGGGAGAGGAGCGAGGAGGAGCGGGAGCGAGGGAGGAGCGAGGGAGCGAGGGAGCGAGGGAGCGAGGGAGGAGCGAGGGAGCGAGGGAGCGAGGGAGGGGGAGGGGGAGGGCGGGAGCGAGGGAGCGAGGGGGAGGGCGGGAGGGCGGGAGCGAGGAGCGAGGGGGGAGCGGGAGCGAGGGAGCGAGGGAGGAGCGAGGGGGGGAGCGAGGGAGCGAGGGAGGAGCGAGGGAGCGAGGGAGGGAGCGAGGGAGCGAGGGAGGAGCCGAGCGAAGTGAGCCCCACCCCCCCCCTCCGAAATCGTGGGGGGTAGGGGTAGGGGTTCGCATCTGGCCCCCTAAGGGCGGATCGCGGCGCTGCGGGGCAGTGGCCGCAGTGGCGCGGTAGATAGCGGGAAGTAGCGGGAGGGCGGGCGATGGCGAGGATCACGGTGGTGTTGTCGATGGTGATGGCGATGATGACGGCAATGGTGACGGTGGAGGGGGTGGTGGTGGTGATGATGATGATGATGATGATGATGATGATGATGATGATGATGGATGATGATGATGATGATGATGATGATGATGATGATGATGATGATGATGATGATGATGATGATGATGATCATCATCATCATCATCATCATCATCATGGAGGAGCGCGATGATGATGGCAATGATGATGGAGGAGCGCGATGATGATGGCAACGATGATGGTGATAGGGATCAGGATCGGGATCCGGGTCAGGATGCTGCTGCTGATGATGGTGGTGGTTCTGGATATTGATGACGATGTTGATGCTGATGATGGTGAGGATGATGGTGAGGATAGGTGATCGGTGGTGGGTGATTTTTTATGGGTGGTAGTTGGTAGGTGGTATGGGGTAGGTCGTATGTCGAATATGGTGATGCTGATGATGATGGTGATGGTGATGGTGATGGTGATGATGATGCTGATGATGATGCTGATGTTGATGCTGATGATGTGATGATGATGGTTGGTGACTGGTGGTTGTGTTTGGCGGTGCTATTTCGGTATTTTATGATGTTCGGCAATGGTTGGTGATGTTTGCTGATGATGCTTGTTATTGGTGGGGATTGCTGATGATGATTGGCGATGGTGGTTGATGGTGATGATAACGATTTTTGAGGATGATGGTTGATGATCGTGATGCGTGTTGGTGGCGATGGTGATGAACGTGATGATGATAGTGACGATGGCGATGATGATGATTATGTTGATGATGATCATGATGCCGATGATGATGACGATGATGATGAAGTTGATGGTGATGATGATGGTGGTGACGATGGTGATGGCGATGGTGATGGTGATGGTGATGAGGATCAGGCTCAAGATCATGATGATTGTGGTGGTGGCGGTGGTCAACTTTGTAGTTTGTGATGTTCGGTGATGATTGGTAATGGTTGCTGATGGTGCTTGTTATTTGGGGGGGGTCGCTGACGATGGTTGGCGATGGTGATTGGTGGTGGTGGTAAGGATTATGATGCTTGATGGGGGTGATGGTCGATGATAGTGATGCGCGATGGTGGTTGATGGAGGGGGAGGATGTCATGATGATGATGACGACGAACAATTATGATCATGATGATCATGATGATAATGATGATGGTGTCGATGGTGATGAGAATTGTGATGCTGCTGATGATGATGAGCATGATGATTATGACGATGACAATGACGATGAGGTGGCACTGATAATGATGAGGAAGATGATAATGATGATTACGATATTGATGAAGTTGGCGATGACGATGACGATGATGACGATGGTGATAATGATGACGGTCATGACGATTATGATGATGATGACGACGACGGTGACGACGATGATGATGTGGCTGCTGCTGATGATGCTGCTGATGATGATGCTGATGATGTTGGTGATGCTGATGATGATGCTGATGATGATGCTGCTGATGATGCTGATGATGCTGATGATACTGACGATGTTATGATGATGCTGATGATGACAATGCTGATGATGATGATGATGATGATGATGATGAGAATGAGGATGATGAGGATGAGGGAGAGGATGAGGATAATGATGATGCTGATTATGATGCTGACGATGGTGATGATACTGATGATGATGCTGATTATGATGATTATGATGCAAATGATGATGATGATGACGATGATAATGGTAATGATGATGATGATGATGATGATGATGATGATGATGATGATCATCATCATCATCATCATCATCATCATGCTGATGATGCTGATGCTGATGATGCTTATGCTGATGCTGATGCCGCTGCTGTTACTGCGATGATGATGATGATGATAATGGTGTTGGTGGTGGTGATGACTGTTGTGGTGGTGGTGATGGTGATGATGCGGATGATGATAATGATGGCGACAAGCGGTTATGATGATGATGACGATCACGATGACGGTGATGATGATACGGCGATGATGGTGATGATGATGACGATGATGATGATGATGCTGATCATGATGCTGATGATGATGATGATGCTGGTGATGATGATGATGATGATGATGATGATGATGATGATGATGATGACGATGATGGTGATGATGATGATGATGATGATGATGATGATGATGACGGCTGCGGCGGCGGTGGCGGCGGTGTTTGCGACTGATAGGGCTTAGCCATAATGGGAGGTGAGGAGATGGAGGAGGCAGGAAGGCAGGGAGGGAGGGAGACAAGGACGAAGAGTAGGAGGAGGACGAAGAGGAGGAACGTGATGAGGAGGAGAGAGTCGGATGATGATGATGATGATGATTATGATGATGATGATGATGATGATGATGATGATGATGATGATGATGATGATGATGATGATGATGATGATGATGATGATGCTGATGCTGATGTTGATGCTGATGATGATGATGCTGCTGATGATGCTCCTGATGCTGATGATACTGATGATCATAATGCTGATGATGATGGTGATAATGATGATGATGCTGATGCTGCTGATGATGACGAGTATGCTGCTGTTGTTGTTGATGATGATGATGATGATGATGATGATGATGATGATGATGATGACGCTGATGATGATGCTGATGCTGATGCTGATGCTGCTGACGATGGTTATGATGCTGATGATGCTGATGATTATGATGATGGTAATGGTGATGACGATGAGGAGGAGGAGGAGGAGGAGGAGGAGGAAGAACAGGAGGAGGAGGAGGAGGAGGAGGAAGAGAAGGAAGAGGTGACGAAGAGGAAGGGGGAGGGATATCATAGGGATAGAATGCGCGCCGCGCAGGACTCCGCAGAGTCCGCGCTGGCTGCAGCCATGGTGTGTGGCCCGACGTGGAGCAGTCAGGACGCGGCGTTTGCGGGGGGGGGGGGGCGGGGACGCTGTGAGGGGCAGAGGGTTCTAGATCTGGTTGGGGCGGGTTGTTCCTGTGCACGGAGGGAAAGTGGAGGGGACGAAGGCGGGGAGGAGTGGGATGGGGGAGTGCAAAGACGAGCAGTAGGCAGCAGCAGCGGTTGTGGGGGTGATGGCGGTGGCTTCACTATAGTTATAGCCGGAGGAGTAGGAGGAGATGCAGGCAGGGTGCGCGAAGGTGGGGAGGGGTGGGATGGGGGAGAAGGGAGACGAAGCCTGGGATGGCTTGGCAGGGCGGCCTGGACGCCCCTTCCCCCGTCCTCCCCGGTAGGGCCGCCCGGTCCGCCGTGGCCAGGGGCGGCGATGGGGGAGAGGAGAATGACAAGCAATACTCGGGCAGCAGCACCAGCAGCTGCAGTCTTGGTGGTGGTGGTGGTGGCACTGGCAGTAGCAAGAGCAGAGCAGCAGGAGCAGTGGGAGGAGGAGGACGAGGAGGAGGAGGAGGAGAGACGTCAGATGATGATGCTGATGATGATGGTGGTGATGGTGATGGTGATGGTGATGGTGATGGTATGGTGATGATGATGGTATGGTGATGATGATGATGATGATGATGATGATGATGATGATGATGATGGTGATGATGGTCCTGGTGATGGTGATGGTGATGATGATGATGATGCTGATGATGCTGATGGTGATGATGGTGATGATGATGATGACGATGACGATGGACGTTGATGATGATGCTGATGATGCTGATGATGATGGTGGTGATGATGCTGATAATGCTGATGCTGATGGTGGTGATGATGATGCTGATGATGATGCGGATGCTGATGATGGTGAGGAGGAGGAGGAGGAAAGAAGTCTGATAACGATGATTATGATCGTGATGCTGATGACGATTACGGTGATGGTCATGATGATGGTGATGGTGATGGTGATGATGCTGATGATGATGCTCATGCTCATGCTGATGCCGATGATGCTGCTGATGATGATGATGATGATGATGATGATGATGATGATGATGATGATGGTGGTGGTGATGATGATGCTGATGATGATGTTGTTGCTGATGTTTGTGATGATGATGATGATGATGATGATGATGATGATGATGATGATGATGATGATGATGCTGATGATGATGATGTTGGTGATGATGATGATGATGCTGCTTGATGATAATGAAGAAGAAGATGAAGAAGAAAAAATAATAAGATGAAGAATAATAAGAATAATTAGAATAATAATAAGAAAAAGAGGAGGATGAGGAGATGAGGAGGAGGAGGAGGAGGAGAGCAGAGAGGGGGGGCGGGGTGGAGAGGGATGAGGAGGAGGGTGAAGCCGAGAAGAAGGAGGAGGAGGAGGAGGAGGAGGAGGAGGAGGAGGAGGGGGAGGAGGGTGGAGGAAGAGGACGACGAGGACGAGGAGGAGGAGGAGCAGGAGGAGGAGGAGCAGGAGGAGGAGGGGGGGAGGGGGAGGAGGAGCAGGAGGACGAGATCCAGGAGGACGAGGCACGAGGAGAGTGCCCGTCTGCTGGCCCGGCGCTCAGGATTCCGACGGCGCAGCCTCCGCGAACGGCGTGCGGCCACCGCGCTTCTCGCGCCAGGAGTCCGAGGGCAGCGAGAAGGCGCACCGGGACACGCAGTGTTTTGAGGGCTCAACGTTGAAACTCGGACGTTCCTCCTTCGGCACGTTCGGACGTGGACCGAGGTAGAGGCCTTCCGCTGCGCGTCAATTTCGGGCGTACTGGCCTATCCTCGATTTGGGATTGCTGGGAGGGCGCCGTTTTTTCTTGGAGGCAGATGCAGTGCTCTGGTGCGGCAGTTGTGGAGGTCGTCAAAAAAAGTGTTTTGAGGGCTCAAGCAGAGTGGCGAAGCGTCCTGGCTTGCCTCTTGGCCCGCCAGAGACTGTTATGCTAGCCTTTTGTGGTCTGCACGGGATGTTTCAAGATCATCTCTGGCCGAGACTGTCTTGTTTTCACATGTCGGGGTGATGTTCTAAGAGCATTGCTTTTGTTCTTAGAACATGTCTGACTATTCTGGTTTCTACGAACATGTCGTGGTAGGCCTGTAGGAATACCAGGACGGTCGGTCCCTGCTCAGAGGACTGCCTCGCCCTCCATCGAGGAAAGAAAGCGGTGAAAACATAAGCTTTCGGAGCTGAGAGCGGATGTCTGTCTTGGATCGGCGCTGGGTCCCCCTGGCGGCGCCGCCGGCGCCGCTCCTGGTGCGCTCTGGGGGTTCCAGCGCCGATCCAGGAAATCCGCGCGGACCCCCGAGAAATCATGTTTACGCCGTTTTGGATTCTTCGACAGTGGGAACCCATGCCAAGACGCACCCTGCTTGCCTTCAGGGTGCCCTGGGTTTCTAGGGTTTCGATGGTCTCGCTGTGGGGAGCGCGACGTTCCCACACCAAAAATCAAGGGACGTCCTGGGGTCTCAGGGTTGGGTTTCGTGTGGATGGTCTCTTGTGGTCGAGCTCCTACTGTGTTCTGGGGCTCTGAGGGGCTCCTCGCCCTCCTCCGGCGCGAGGGAGGAGGAGGACGAGGAGGAGAAGGAGGGGGAGGAGGAGGAGGAGGAGGAGGAGGAGGAGGAGGAGGAGGAGGAGGAGGAGGAGGAGGAGGAGGAGGAGTAGGAGGAGGAGGAGGAGGAGGAGCCATGGGGGGGGCCCTCCTGGTCGTGCGGGGTCCTCTTCCAGCAGCTCGGGGAGGCGTCGTGGACCTCCTCGCAGGTTACGCTGCATCTTCGAGGGACCTCGACTGTCCCCCAAATTGGTGTCTTTTCTTGTGCCCGACGCGGGCTCGATGCGGCCTCGACATGGACTTGGTGTGGTTTCGACGCGGATTCGGCACGGATTCGACGCAGATCCGACGAGGCCGACATGGATTCGACACGGATTCGACACGGATAGGGCCGCGACAGGGCAGACAAGGCCCCCCGAGGATGTAACATAACGCAGGTGGAGGCGCACTTGGTGACTTTGATCGGGCGCGCGCTAACATGGAGTACCGATCCGTGGACCTGGCGCGTGGGCGCCAGGTTCACAGATCCAGCATGTGTTCGAAAACCACTTCCAGAAAAGGGTATGGAAAAGTGAGTCCACCGTTGGAACCAGGACCAGCCTGGCTGGACCTCCCAATTCAATCCGAATGGGACGCGAGGCCCCACAATTATCTGGAATTTGGCCGGCGAGCTTATACGCAGCATGGACTGTAAAGACAGAGTAGGAGAAATTCCCTCTTGAGTTATTGTGACAAACGGAGCACTCCGCCTCCGACGGGCGCATCACCACCACCACCACCACCACCGCCACCATCATCATCATCATCATCATCATCATCATCATCATCATCATCATCATCATCATCATCATCATCATCATCATCCTCATCCTCATCCTCATCCTCATCCTCATCCTCATCCTCCTCGTCATCATCATCATCACCATCACCATCACCATCACCATCACCATCACCATCACCATCATCAGGACCACCATCATCACCATCATCATCACCATCGTCATCACCATCATCATCATCATCATCATCATCATCATCATCATCATCATCATCATCATCATCATCATCATCATCATCATCATCATCATTATCCGTAGCAGTTTTGTCTCAAGGTTATACGATTATGGCAGATGTCTGGTCCCATGTGGCTGGCTCTAGCCGTCGCGTCACTTCTTGGGTCAGTTTCCAAATCGACCAAGCTCTCAGCGAGGCCTTCGCGGCCACGGTCCTTTCATACCCGTAACCTATTTCCGACACCCGGCCTCAATCGCCAGATTGGGAGCCCAGCTCGCGCGGCTTCGACCAATGGCAGGTGGAGGTGGTGCTCGAGGTGCCGCGCGTGGTGGCGGCGGCAAAGGCGGCAGCAAAGGGGGACGACATGGATGGGGGCCAGCCAGGCGGAGGAGGCAGCGGCGGCGCCAGCAGCCAGCCCAAGGCCGGGGACTGCGCTCGGTGCGGAGCCAAGAAGAATTGGGGCTCCAGGCACACTTGTCGGAGCTGCGGTTATGATTGGTGGGAGCAGGGATCTGGTGCAAGCTCTTGGCGGAGTGGCATGTCGCAGCTGGACTCCAAGGAGCGCCACGAGCTCAATCAGCTGCGCAGGAAGGTAAAACAACTCGAACGCGTCATTGATTCCGCAGGCGGTGGAGGCGGTGCTGTCGGCGGCGGAGACGGGCAGCAACCACCGAGTAAGGACGAACGAGCACGGCGAATTGGGAAACTACGACGTGACATCAAACAGCTCGAGGGGGTGGATGAGATCTTCAGTGTTAAGCGAGGGGAAGCACAGCAGTTGGAACACGAGCTCTCCGAGGAGAACCCCACGTCCGTCCAACTCAGCGAACTCGAGTGCAAACAGAAGAACCAGCAGAGCAACGGAGGCACTGGGGCACAATATCTCGGGCACCACGCGAGAGATCGAGAACCTCCAGGCGAGGAAGCTCGAGCTGAAAGAGAATCGCGAGCATAACAAGGCCACGGAGACTGGGCTCCAGGCCCTCGTCGACAACTTGCTGGTCAGGCACCGACGGGGGCGGGAGGGCGCCTTTCAGCTTGCAGTCCCTGGGGCAGGAGCAGCAGGGGCAGTGGCCGCGGCACCAGCAGCCGAGCTCTCTGAGGGCGTGCGCGCCACCGCCTTCTAGGCGGCGCTCGACCAAGCCTCAGGCATGCTCAACGCAGGGTACGCAGCTCGATGGGATGAACAAATCACTGAACTTCGACGGCTGGCCCGACGCGTCGCCTTGGCTGGCGCCGCTGCGGAACGCGATGGCGCGAGTGGCGATGAGCAGGAGATGGGCGAGGCTGGCCTGGGCAACATCGTCGACAGCATCATGGGGGAGGAGGCCGCGGAGGAAGACTCCGCCGCGGGCGGGGGCGCCGACGGGGCCGCGGCTCAAGTCGCCGACCCCGCGGCCAAGGCAGCGGCCCAGCGCGAGCTCCGCGCCCAGAAGCACCTCGCAGGTCTCCCTTCAGCGGGACTGCGGCGACGCGGGAAGTGAGGGTTGCGCGCCCGATTTCACCGTCGCGAGCCTCGACTGCAGCGGCTGAGGGCCTTTCTGCAATTATCCCCAGGGGGGCGGGGCCCCGAGCAGGGCCTGGTCGCCCAGCTGCACTTGGGCGACGCGCTCTGCCTCCAGGAGCACCAACTCCGCGGCTGCCGCTCCGTCGAGCAGGAGCAGTGGCGCCGCCCGGTTGGCTGGGGCGCCGCCCTGGCCGCAGGCGACGCTGCTGCTGGCGCCCCTGCGCGGCGGGCCGTTAGCGGGGGCGCGGGGGCGGCGGCGCGCTCCGCTCGTGGCGCGCGCGGCCCAGGGGGGCGCGGCGACATGGAGAGCCCTGCTCGGGTCTGTGCACCTCGACAACGACGACGTCGGCGAAACCGGCAAGGCCGTGCTCCAGGAGATCGGGGTCCTCCTCGAGCGCACAGGCAAGCCGTGGGCGCTGGCTGGCGACTGGAACGTCGGGCCCGAGAGGTTTCGCGAGCGCGCGGCCAACTGGCCCGGCAAGATCGGAGGTCACTTGGTCGACGCGGGAGTGGGCACCTGCCAGCGCTCCTTGTCCAAGCCGCCTTCGGAGCTCGACTGGTTCATCGTCAGCGAGGAGCTGCTCGACGGGGTGAACTCGTGCAAGCGGCTCGGCATTAGCGAGCAGGGGCGCGCCAACCCGCGCGGGCCTCACGCGGCAGTGAAGCTCGCCGTCGCGTGCCGCGGCGACTCGGGCCAGCCAGTCGCGCAGGGTCAAGGGGCCGATGGCTTTCCCCGAGGCGCGCCCTCGTGGGCCCATGCGGGGGCGGATCTGGGATCATTCAGCTTTAAAGTTCCAGACCGATCGGAGCGAGGGTTTTTTGGATTTGGAGGCGGCGCGCCAGGGCCTCTGCGGGAGTCGAGGCCCAGCATGTTTGCATCTACCAGATCGACCCCGCTGAGGCCGATCTCAGCAGGGGGCGAGGGGGCCCGCCGGGCGTCAGCCGCGGCTCGCGAGCCAGGGCTCGGCCCATCAAGGGCCCCAAGGACAGCTACAAGGGCAGGGGGCCCATGCACTTGAGCGACTACTTTACGCAGGTGCGTCTCTGTGCCAGCGGACTTCCCACCGACTCCCGCGGGGAGCTCGCGGCTTCCAAGCTCGACCCTGAACGGTGCGAGGCTGAACTCATTCAGGCGCAGGCGCTCAAGCGCCGCGAGCGCGCTCTCGGCCGTCGCGCGCGCAGCTGGGCCCCCAACCTCGGCAATCCCAACTGCGTCGAGGACGCAAACGAGTGGATTGATAATTGCGTCTCATACATCTTCCGCGCGCCGGGCCTGCCGACGCATGTCGCCACCGGATTGGCGCGAGAGCCGGCTGTGCACAGCTCGTGACGCCTGCTCTTCAGCATGGCGGCGCAGGGGGCCCTGGGCGGATTGAGTTTGCCCGCATTCTTCGCCAGCCCAGTCATCGATCACGGTGGGTTGGGGGGAAGATCCACAGGGCGGTGGACAACTACTACGAGTCCAGGCGCTGGCTTAAGGAGCGAATGGGGCTGCGACAGGCCACTTCGGTGGCCCCATGTGCTGCGCCATCTTCCCTTGCGATGCGCGCCGCCCTGGGCCCCGGCGGTGCCGTTGGGGGCTGGG